ATATTTGTTTGCTCCCTACTGACTTGTTGCAGCCTCATGCTCTCACAGCCTTTCTCTGCTGGTCTCCTGATCTGGGGTTGGAGTGGGTGGAAAGAGACTGGCAGGAAGAATGATGTCACTTGGCATGAAGCACTTTCAGGGTTGGGAAATCCAGGCCTTTGAGTCTACAACTCAATTTCAGTGTTTTATGGCCCACATACTGTATTTTCAGCAGGGCCTGGCCGCCTACAGAAAAAAAGTCCAATGTCAGCATTCAAGATCTTCCACACTGTGGACTTACCTACCTTTCCTTAAATACCTTCTGCACACACACACACACACACGCATACACGCATCCTGCACAGAAGAGTTAACTGGACTGTTAACTCTTCCCTAAACACGCTCAGCACTTTCTAAGTTCCCTCCACCAGGAACTTCAATCTTAATTAGCTGACACCTGAATGAGTCTTTAGGATACAGAATATCATAAATGCCACCTTTCTCACACACCCCTCCTTGCCCCGTGCTTCTGCAGCTTTTTGTGTGTCTGTGCAACATTAGAGTTGCGTGTGTAAAGTCTGTCTTCCACATTATCTGCTCACAGCATTTCCAACCTACTCCTTCCTGTTTTCTCATAGATCTGAGCATAGTGCCTGGCACACGACAGGCATTCAATTTCATCTTGAGATGGTTTACACATACTGGATCTTTCTATATTAGAAAGTCTTTTTTTCTTCTTTTCCAACACACTCTCCTTCCTCAGTTTTCTCTCTCCCTCAGGCTGGACATTTCAAATGCAGTTCCAGTTCCATGCATTCAGAGCTGGAGGCTTAAATCATCAACTTCTGCAAATCTTAACAAAGCCTTCGGGGCAGCCTCTTATCAATATATAGCCACGGCCCCCACCTTTGTGCAGTCAGGGCTACTTGGGTCCTAGCTCTGTCCGTAGGACAACATGGGAATGTAACCTACAACTCCTGGCAAGAAGGGATCAAAGTGGCAGGATGTATGAGCGGCTTTAGGACTCTGATTTCCTCTGAGCTGTTAGTGTGTAGCCTGGGTGTGGCAGGGAGACAAAGCGCATGGACAAAGGGCTTTCACATCACAGTCACTCCCTAGAATCAGAAATTTCTACACCACACCTGGGGTAAAACTCAGGCCACCTGGGTGCTACCGACTTGTGCTCTAACAAGGTTAAGCTCAGCTGGATTAAAAGCTTCAGGGTGTGCCGGGCACAGTGGCTCATGCCTGTAATCCCAGCAGTTTGGGAAGCCAAGGCGGGCGGATCACTTGAGCTCAACAGTTCCAGACCAGCCTGGCCAACATGATGAAACCCTGTTTCTACTAAAAATACAAAAATTAGCTCGGCATGGTGGTAGGTGCCTTTAATCCCAGCTACTCGGGAGGGTGAGGCTGGAGAATCACTTGAACCTGGGAGGCGGAGGCTACAGTGAGAAGAGATCGTGCCACTGCACTCCGGGCTGCGTGACACAGCAAGGCTCCATCTCAAAAAAAAAAAAAAAAAAGGCTTCAGGGTGTATCCTAGAAGGGAGATTTGGAAGTAATCTGATGGAACCACCCAGAAGGACAAATATGGACATCTCCTGACCCCTACTGCGACACTGTCCCTCCAGAAAGTAGATGAGGACTGCCTCTGGCAACAGCAGAAGAAAAAACATACCAGGCAGTGAATGGGTGGAAAGAATTTTTTTAAGGGACTGGAATTTCCTTTGGTGTGGCCTACAACTAGAATAGGGTGTGGCACCAGGGCAAGTGAAGAGGATTCTCATGTGAGAAAAAGAGGAACATTCCATTTCTATTTAATTCTCACAACTGAATCTGGAAGGCAGCTTAAGACACCATAACTTTAAGCAAAACTTCCCCGAGGTAGGCAAAAGATGAAGTTTAGGTCTGTGGAACAGCTGGATTAAAAGGGAAATGAATCCCTGCCAAGTTCAGAAACTGGTATTAATTTGGGAAAATATAAAGTTTAAAATCCAAAAATTCACTTTTTGGAATTGTTGTCTCTTTTCTTTCTCTGCCAGATTTAAGGCCTAAAGAGCAGGGATTTTGGGGGCTGTCAGAGGGGAGTCTGTGTTGTTCACTGCTGTATCCCCAGTGCCCATAACTATGAGTGGAACACAGGAGGTGATCAACATTTTGTGGAATAAATGGTTGTTTAAAGCAGCCCACTAGGGCCTGAGACACCTTTTGTGACAATCCCACTCTCCCTCAATGAAAAATGTCTCCGCAGGTTCCAGGCTCTGCACAGGCACAGAGAGAACAAAGGCTCCAGACAATGCATTAGTGCCAGATTCTAGGCCCAATGGTGAGAGCCTACAGCCCTCAAAATCAATAGCAATTATAGAAGCATATCTACTTTGCCAGGAAAACTGCTTAAATCAGAAATTAGCCAGGAAACTAACGGCCATGACTGCAAGCCTAATGTCAATCGATACCACAGTTTAATAGCTCAAAGACACAAGATGTTAAATATTGAGACTCCAGTGCAAGACTGAGCTCCTAATCAAAGTCAGTGAGTCAGCAATATTTCCTGGGCATTTACCACAGGCAGGCTACTTGGCACTGCAGGAAATTACAAAATCTAGACGGTCTCCAAATCACAAACCTCCGATTGTAAAAATGCACATAGATGGTCACACCTTTCCACTGCAGATGCAATGGACACTTGGAGAAACCCTTGACCTTTAGATAATCAACAGACTTGGAAGAAGGGAAGAAATTATTAAGCAGGACTGTGTTAACACTCTTGGCCCTTGCCCATCAAGGGCACCTCTGCTGCCCCAGTCTTAACAAAAATCTTCCTTCATACTGTCTGAATATTACCACTTTGAGTTCTATAAATTATAGATCTGTTTAGGTGAACAAGGTTTTTTAAATTATTTTATGTATTTATTTTTTGAGACTGGGTCTTGCTATGTTGTTCACATTGGCCTTGGACTCAAGAGATCCTCTAGCTTGAGCAGCTGGGACTACAGGCCCACGACCACGCCCAGCATTGCAGGAAATGGAGATTTTTTTTTTTTTTTTGAGACCCAGGCTGGAGTGCAGTGGCAGGATCTCGGCTCACTGCAAGCTCCGCCTCCCAGGTTCACGCCATTCTCCTGCCTCAGCCTCCCCAACAGCTGGGACTAGAGGCGCACGCCGCCACGCCCAGCTAATTTTTTGTGTTTTTAATAGAGACGGGGTTTCACCGTGTTAGCCAGGATGGTCTCGATCTCCTGACCTTGTAATCCGCCTGCCTCGGTCTCCCAAAGTGCTGGAATTAGGAGTGAGCCACTGCGCCCCGGCCTGTTGTTTTTTAAATAACAGGACTCCTCTGGGTTGCTGAGGTTCTTAGGACCACCAACCATTTCTAACTTAATGAATATTGATTCAATCTGCTAGCCTCTAGCTGGATGCAGGTCTGCTGAAATGGGAAGGAGGAAGGAATGCAGCGTAACTGGACCGGCCTGGATGGCTGTTGTAATACGTCACAGAAGAGCGTCTCTAAGGAGGTGGAAGGTGGAAAAAAGAAAGTGGAACAGGGGAAAGACATAATTTTCCAATTAAAATAATTTACTCAGTGTCAATCTTAAAGCTAAAAAGTTTCAGAAAAATATTTCAGTGATTTAGTCTTCCTACACACATATTGCCCCTCACTACCCTCCACCTCCCCACCACCAACCCCATAATTAGGCAGTGCATGTTAAATAGGTTTTTCAGGGCTAGCCTGAGAATGTCAGCACCTTCTGCAACACTGGTTCAGTGGGAAATTGCATTCTGCATTCCAAGTCCCCAAGTTCCAGACGGGGACAGTAGCACACGCATGTGAACAGAATCCATCAGTACAGTCTGGGGCCCAGGCCCTTGCACGGCAACAGCTTAAGGCTTTTGGTAATGGCCCAGGGTGCACCCATGAGGCCACTCCTCTTTTACACACACAGACACCCACAGCTTTAAAATGGCAATCTGACTACAAAAATGACACTTTGCATTTGCACAGCACTTTGTGTTTTTTGTGTACTTTACACATTTATTATCGAATGACGGTGTTTTTTGGAATCTCCAATAACCCTGTTTGGGTGGTGGTAAGAACAGGTATCCTTAAGCCACCTTCCCAGATAAGGAAACTGGTGTTCCCCTCCTTCGTCTCAAAAGGCAGCTGATGGAACCCAAGCCCTCCACACCAGCCCTGGGGCCAGCTGCACTGAGCGGCCAGGAGGGAGCAGCCCCGGGGCGCCACGCCCTTCTCTGTACCCTCAGTTCCTGACTCACTGTGTCACATCATGGCGAGTAACAGGACACCCCTCCCCACAGAATCATGGGGCACACTACCTTCCTGATGCCAATGTGTTCAAACAAGCGAGCAACTCTACAGGTAGAGTGAAATCCGAAGTTGCTATGCTACAAGATAACCCAGACCAAGGGGAATAACTGACGTTTTTATGTTTTCTTTTATTGCGGGGGGGAGACTGGAGGGTGCCTACTCACATTCTCCCCTCTCATCTTCCCCCGCTACTTCCCTCCTGCTGGTCGGTTCAACTCCACAAGCGCGCGTTTGTTTTGAGTACAGTAACTTAGAGCAGATGGGGGCACTTCCTAGGGGGCGGTGGAAAGCCCACTCTCTACTGCTGCGCCGGGGACCCATAGCTTCCTGGGCGGCCACGCCCTGCCTCGGCGGCGCCTGGCGCGTCTGGAATGCGGGGCCTCCCTCCGCCCCCCTCCCCGCGCCGCCTCGCCCCGCTCCCGCAAGGACTTCTTGGGGAAGCCCGACCCCCCCCACCCTACCCTGGACCCTCCCGGCCCGAGCCCCGGCGGCCCCTCACGCCTGCCCCAAACACCTTAGCCCCCTCCCCAAAAGACTCTCCAGTGTGAGCCGTCCCTTCAGTCCCCTGCCCCCGACGGCCTCCGGGGCCAGTCGCCGGAGCCTCCCTGCCAGGCGGTACCCTTCTTCCCAGCGTCTCCGCACCCCGCTAGCTGGCGGCCTGTAGCGGGCGGGTAGGGCGCGCCCCGCTTACCTGGGCCGTGCGTCGAAAGCTGAGAGCGTCCCCAGATGCCGAGCAGAGCCGGCTGGCCTGGGTGGGGCTTTTATACTCGCCATATCCTCCCTCGGCGAGGCGAGGCCCGCCCCGCCCCGCCCCGCCTCCCCCTCATACGGCCCGCTCCCACCCGGAGTCAGGGGTGACTCACCCCGGCCCGCCGGCCCGCAGGGACCGCGCCCTGGAACGCTCCCGAGCCGCGCCACGTGGGAGCGGCCCCCGCGCCCCTGGCCCTGCCCTCCCAGAAAGCCCGGCCGAGGCTGCCCCGAGGCCCACAGGGGCCCCGTTTCTTCCTCCTTTCCTCATTTTACTTCTTAAGTGCCACGTCGAGCTCTCAGCCTCGGCTTGGGTTAATAAATGAACAAGACTTCAGTAGTAGACTCTAAACTTGCTTAAGTGGCTTTTTTTTTTCTGGCGTTAATGCAGTGGAGGAAAGAATTGTTCCAAGAAACATAAATCTGGACTCCCCTGAGCTGGGACTGTTGGCATCCAGCGCCCCATTACCGTCTTCAAACATGTCAGCTTAACCTTTGGCCGCCAGTTCCCGGGAGGCGCGCGGGGAGGGAGGGAGATTCGCCCTGTGCTGCAAAGCCTGGCCCGCCCCGGCCTCCCAGCGCCGGGAAGCCCCAAGCCCCGGCTGGAAGGCCAAAGCCAGGAACCAGGATCCCACCTCAGTCCCGCCCAGAGAGGCGCCCCTGTCTCTAGCACGGCTGTGCTCTGCTTCTCTCCGCGCCTGGGGCATCTCTGCGCGGCCTCATGGCAGGCGGTCCTGAGCCGGGTGGGGCCCATAGCTTTGAACCCGGAGTTTCAACAAAGAACTTTCCTCTCGTCTTTCTTTCATGACTGCTGGGGTGGGTGTGTGTGTGTGTGGGGGCGTGTTTCTTGCAGCCATTTAGCCAACTCCCTTGCTCCGTTTTGCTGTTTCTCGCTTTTCTTATGAGACAGACAGACAGAGAGAGAGAGAGAGAGAGAGAGAGAGAGAGAGAGAGAGAGAGAGAAAGTGTGTGTGTGTGTGTGTGTTTCTTGCCGCCGTTTAGCCAACTCCCTTGCTCGGTTTTGCTGTTTCTCGCTTTTCTTCCGCGCGTGTGTGTGTGTATGTGTGTGTGTGTTTCTTACAGCCGTTTAGCCAACTCCCTTGCTCGGTTTTGCTGTTTCTCGTTTTTCTTCCAAGAGTCTGTTTCTCGCTTTTCTTCCGTGTGTGTGTGTGTGTGTGTGTGTGTGTGTTTCTTGCAGCCGTTTAGCCAACTCCTTTGCTCGGTTTTGCAGTTTCTCGCTTTTCTTCCAAGAGTCACGTTGGCAACGTGCAGGCAAACACCTATTTGTTGTATGTGAGACGACGCAAACACTGTATTCGAACCTCAAACTAACAGGGAAGCAATGCTGAGAATCCCGAGGACCTCTCGCTGGTCTTTTAAACCCCTCCTTGCACACTCACTTCCTGCGGCTCTTTTTCCTGGTTTTGATGATTCTGTGTTTTAATCTCCCATTTATCTTAACATTCATTTTTACTTTCCAGTTGAGCGTCAATTCACTCCTGGGAATCAGAGAATGATAGCAAGGCCAACAGATAGTCAGTGCTCTGCTCACTGTCATAGAGTGAGACAGGCAAAGTCAGCCACAACTGGGGTCTCTTAACCCACCCAGAGCTCTGTGTTACGCAGCGTTTTCACGAGGAATTATACGCGATGCTTTCGCTTTCATGAGGAATTATACACGATGCTTTCACGAGGAATTATACACAATGGGCCCTACCACAGGGCCAAATAGAAAATAAAGCAACACTTTGGGCACAATTGCTGATTTACATTTCTAGCTCTTCAATGTAGCCTGAAAGCTTCAAAGTCAGAAATAGTGTTTGTCTACCTACGTGGTGTGAACATTTTGGAAGGTTAGGGCTACACAGGCAGACAGTAATACTGGGCACGATTCAGCCTCCCTTCTGTATATCTCAAGGTAGGTTCCACAGTCTCTTATTCCTAACTGTGCTGTGATAGGCCTTTTACGGAAGATAAAATTTAATTTAAATCATATGGAATATATAAAAGACATCAAATGGCCAAAAGAATTTTGTGCTCATCTTGGGCGTGCAGCAAATCCAAACTTCTATAGATGTGTACAATCACCAGGCTTTGCTTCATGCTAAAGAAATGTGCACTGATGTTGTCATAAAAATGAAGCTATTATAAGTCATAGTTTGCTATTTCTGAGGAATGTGAGGCCAGTTCTTCCAGTATAAAAGATCTTTTGAGTATTAGTCAGAAGACTATTTTCCCCCCAGTTGAGGAGAATGTTTACATCAGCCCTCAGATTGCCTGCTGTTGTCCATATTGTTCTCTTACGTGCTTAACTTTGTTTTGTTTGCACTTTATCTCCTGCACTCAACACCTCTTCTAGCGCCTAGCTAGCAATGATAGGCATTCACTAAATGTGATAGAATGATAGAATACAATTATTCACTGAATAATAGAACGTTAAAACAGGGAGGGGCCCTAGAGATTAAATTGCCCTATCCTTGATTTTTACTATTATTATTATTGCATCTTTTACTTGAGGTCTCACTCTGTTACCCAGGCTAGAATGCATGGCGTGATTAGGGCTTACTGCATCCTTCACTATGGAGGCTTAAGAAACCCTCTCCCCTCAGCCTCTTAAGTAGCTGGGACCGCAGGCCCGCACCACCAAGCCTGGCTAATTTTTCTATTATTTGTAGAGACGACAGGGTCTTGCTATGCTGCTCAGGCTGGTCCTGAACTCCTGGGCTCAAGTGATCCGCCTACCTTAGCCTCCCAAAGTTCTAGGATTACAGGCGCGAATTACTATATCCGGCTCTTGATTTTTATATATGAAGAAATTGGAGTCCAAATAAAATCTCCTGCCCAGTCCAGGGATTAAATAATGCACCCAAGGCCCTCGTGTCAGTTACTTTTGCAGTATAACAAATTATCCTCATAAACTTAGTGGTTAAACATAACCATTTGCTTGCTTGTGATTCTGCAATTTAAGCAGTACCTAGTGGGGACAGCTTGGTGCGCCTCCACAGCATGTTGGGTTGGGTAGTTTAGATGGGGTTGGAAGATTGAAAGCAGCTTCCTTTGTCTGGGAACTGAGCTGGGGATGCTAGAATGACAAAGACCAGGCTGGGCCTTTTTCTTCCTTGGTCTTACATCCTCCAGGTTCTCCTCTTTTCCTCCACCATGGTAGTCATGGCAGCCAGGCTTCCAGAAGCAAAAGCTGAAGCTGCCAGGCCTCTTGGCTCACAGGCTGTGCAAAAACGAGCAATAGGCTGGATTTGCCCTATGGGCTGCAGTTTGCTGATTCTTGTTTTAATCCATTGCCTTACACAAGTTTTTGGTTTTGCCCTCTGACATCTAGGCTCCTCCCTTTGAGATATATTTCCTTTTCTTAAGAATGGCCCATATTTGTAGCTGAGCAGCTCTCTCAGTCTGCTTCATTCATGCCAGGAGAAACTGAAAGGTCTAGAAACCTCTTCTCATTTTGCACTTTTTCTGGTTTAAGCTGGCAGTTCTTTCATTAATACAAGTATCTTAAAAACCATGTGGATTTTCTATATCTTATTAAGGTTCACACCATGCTCCAAAATTTATATACAATTTTCTCAAAAACGTTATTTATGTAAATCTTGCTGAGGTTTAATTCCATGTTCCAAGATTCACATTCATTTTTTTTTTTTTATATATCTCTCTCTCTTCTTTCTATTGCAGGCTGCAGTGGGACAATGCGCTTAAGATTCTTAAAAGCCCTGAGATGGTCTTCGAAGCACCACATTAAATCTTTCTTGGAGTCTTTAAAAAGAAGTTGTTGCCGGGCATGGTGGCTCACACCTGTAATCCCAGCACTTTGAGAGGCCAAGGCAGATGGATCACAAAGTCAAGAGATCGAGACCATCCTGGCCAACATGGTGAAACTCCGTCTCTACTAAAAATACAAAAATTAGCCGGGCATGGTAGCGCATGCCTGTGATCTCAGCTACTCAGGAGGCTGAGGCAGGAGAATCGCTTGAACCTGGGAGGCGGAAGTTGCGGTGAGCCGGGATTACACCACTGCATTCCAGCCTGGCAACAGAGCAAGACTCTGTCTCAAAAAAAAAAAAAAAAAAAGTAGTTTTTATAGCCACATCTTGATTTGGTCTTTCTCCAGATACCATTTCTTACTTTGCAAACATTTTACTGACTAGAATTCTGCTTGAAAACCAAACAGATCTTGCCCTTTGGCAATAAAACCCATTGGCACTTTCAGCATTTTACCTGAAAATCCCCTTGGCTAGATCCACAAGTTCAATGGCACATATTCTATCTTCTTTTCTTTTCTTTGTTGTTGGTTTTTTTTTTTTTTTTTTTGTTTTTTTGTTTTTGAGACGAGGTCTCTCTCTGTTGCTTAGGCTGGAGTGCAGTGGCCCGATCTTGGCTCACTGCAACCTCTGCCTCCCAGGTACAAAAGATTCTCCTGTCTCAGCCTCCCAAGTAGCTTGGATTACAGGCCTGCGCCACCACATCCGGCTATTTTTTTTTTTTTTAATTTAGTAGAGACGGGGTTTCACCATGTTAGTCAGGCTGGTCCCCACCTCCTGGATTCAAGTGATTCTCCTGCCTCAGCCTTCTGAGTAGCTGGGATTACAGGTGGCTGCCACCTTGCCCAGCTAATTTTTTTTTTTAATTTAGTAGAGACGGGGTTTCACCATGTTAGTCAGGCTGGTCTCAAACTCCTGAACTCAGGGGATCCACCCGCTTCAGCTTCCCAAACTGCTGGGATTATAGGCGTGTGCCACCGCACCCGGCTTCATATTCTATCACTCGTGTCACCACAGGCAACAGCAATGTCAAACATCCTGCCACTACGTGATATAATTTGCCTCTTCTCCAGTCCTCCATAGCAATTTCCTCGCTGCTCTACCAACTTCCACTCACAGTCATCTCTCTAGTTACCAGCTGGCAGTAAAGTCAGTGTCACGTACTTTAGGGTTTTATTACAGCAACACTCCACATCCAGGTACCAGTTTATGTTTCATTTACCTATTAGTATGAAATAGACCACCTCCAAATCTTAGAGGTTTAAAACAACC